GTATCGGTTGGTAAACATCTTATAGTTTCTGTAAAATGAGACTTTCGAAAACCGACTTCACAAGAGTTACATCCCCCTGGACCCACAATATCAGAATTTCCTGTACATCTGAAACACATAGATTTAAGTAACGTATAAATATAAGTGTGAACCTGAATGAAGCCTTTAACACCTGGATTAACCGAAATGTAACATAAATATAATCAGGGAACTGGTTTCAGTTAATGTAGACCAGCAAATGAAATGGGGTTTAACGTCCTACTGTTCTGCTCCGACTGAGCTAATAAAGACAGGCATACGCCATACAGTGTGCTATGAGGAAAATTTTGCCTAATGCTTACATAGGACCTTGGTTTTTCGTCCCATCCGACGACTAGACAGCTATCTATGTCAGACCCTCCGTCGTGCACCACAGACAAGGGGAAACCCACGCTGTAAAATCCAGATGAACTTTCTCGGCCAACACAGGGATTGAACCTGCGATCTCCAGGTTAGCGAGACAATGTCTTACTCACTGAGCCACTGCAAATCCCCCCCATGGCTTAAAGGATTAGCTACAGTCTATATAACACCATCAATGACGTTATAAACTTTAAGATGCTTTAAGGCTCTGTATTTTACGCTTACAAAGAAGATGGCTACTCACCCATCAGCACAGTTTTTATGACATTTTCTACAGATATTATTTTCATCTGGGTACATGATACTTGGACACTCTGCTAGACAGATGGCGACATTGTTGTTATCTAGAATGGTAACATTCTTACAACTGTCACATTGATTCGGATCCTGAAATATACAACATCAATCTCTCTAGAATATATGATACCATTTTGTTATGGACAACAGTCACTCTGTAAATGGACAACAGTCATTTTGCTATGAACAAAAGTCACTTTGTTAATGAAAGACTGTCACTTTGTTATGGACAAGTCACTTTGTCAATGGAAGACAGCCACTCTCTGCAATGGAAGACTTTCACTTGGCTATAAAAAAAACCAGTAACACTGCTATTGAAAAGTCACTTGCTATTAGTGCAAGACTGGTGGGCCAAAGGCCCACCTGTCAGGTCATTGACCAAGGCACACACAAGTACGCGCCAAAGGCGTCACGAGCGTCTGGGGGGGGGGGTCTCCCCCAAGGAAAATTTAGAAAATTGACAACCGCAAACACATTTTCCAAGCATTTCAGACCAAAGCAGAAGAAGGCAAATGTTTAATTTCCTGATACAATTAGATAACAGAATGACCTAAGAGCACTATCATTAGGAAAGAAGGAGGGAGAGTGTCCTGTCTTCTCCTTCCTTCCTTCTTTCTTTTCTTTCCTCCCCCTCTCTTTTCTTTCTCTTTTCTTATTTTTTCCTTTTGTTTCCTTTCTCTTTTTTCTTTATAGGCTTAGGCCTATAGTCCGGCACTGCTTGCTATATATTGAAAACAGTCACATTCTCATGGAAAACAGTCACATTCTCATGGAAAACAGTCACATTCTCATGGAAAACAGTCACTTTCTCAAGGAAAAAAGTCACCTTCCTATGGAAACGATCATTTCTCATGGCAAACTGTCACTTTCTCATGGACAACAGTCAATTTCTCATGGAAAACAGTCACTTTCTAAATGAAACAGTCACTTTCTAAATGAAAACAGTCACTTTCTAAATGAAGACAGTCACTTTCTCATGGACAACAGTCACTTTCTCATGGAAAACAGTGGAGGAATGACACTTTGCAATGGAAGATAGTCACTTTGCAATGGAAGACTGTCAATTTGCTATTGAAAACAGTCAATTTGCTATTGAAAACAGTAACACTGCAATGGAAGACTGTCACTTAGCTATTGAAAACAGTAACACTGCAATGGAAGACAGTCAATTTGCTATTGAAAACAGTAACATTGCTGTAGAAAACAGTCACTATGTAAACAGCCACTTTCTCATGGAAAACTTGCCAAGGATGACAGTTTAATTTGCTATAGAAGACTGTCACTTTGTTATTAAATTGTAAACTGTCACTTTGTTACAGAAAACATTCACTTTGTCACAGAATTCAGGTGTCTATAGAATGTATTTATCTTTTTGTAGTTAAAGACTTTGAATATGATTTCCCTTGACAACTGATGGTACTAATGGTACCTTTATGACTAATGGTACCTTTACGACCAATGGTCCCTTTATGACCGTCTGACCCTTTGCGACTGTTGGTTACTAGATGACCAATGTCCCTTCACAACTGACCGTTGGTTCCTTATTGTAAAATACTTACTGGTCCAGTACAGTTGTTTTTACATTGAGCATGACAAGGTTTACATCTCTTATTTCCAGCATGGTAATGAAGATTTATATGAGAACAGGATTTAATACACATATTTTCTTCTTCAACACGATAATTTCGACATTTGAGGCATTTGTCTTTTCCATTTCCCCAGCAACCATCCAGGGAACATTCATCATCACATACGTGACCATCACGAACTACAATAACAACGACAGTAATTACGGGTAACAGAAATTTAAAATCAAAAGTCGAGTGGGCAGAATGACCTTATTCACATCGCTTCGTATTGCATCGTGCGGTGATCTCAGAATGAGTGAAAGTTGGGAAGGTTCAATAGATTGACAGGTACAAGTATCGCTTTGACTAATATTGAGATCACTGCTACATTAAACATACATTATGCAAGAGTTAAATCTGCCTATTGCAGGTCTTTCTTTAGGCCTGAAATGTTATTTAAATCATTAATTGGACATTAATTAACTTATCCAGACCATAATCAACTCTCAATGGCATCGCTAGCCTGTGATATTTACTGGATTATAACCCAGTCTGCTGCTTCTGATTAAATTAAAAAATGGATAATCAAGACTATGTTTATTAGTAATGTTGATCGAGACTAGGCCTAAAATTCAAATTCCAAATATTCTGTTCAGGGTGGATCAATTTGACTGAAATTTTCAGCAAATTCCCTTTACATTATCTAGTTTTTAACTATTATAGTGAGAACTACCAGCTCTTTATCTTTAACTTATATATGGTACATATAACTCAAACAACAGCCCTGATAACCTCATACTATAAATTGACTGACGCGTTGGTTTTCTAGCTGGTCATTTGCATGACCATTCGGTCAGTCAGAAAAACATTTCCCCAAATAAAATAGCAATTTTTTGCATATTTTTCCATGTTGTTCATCTAAAAATTAAACTACATTTATTATTTCTTAAGGGTTCTTGAAATTCTAATATCATGGTGTTTACATTTACTGTACTGACATATAAGTTTTCCATCTAGTCATGTTCACAGTCATGACCGATATAAAATAACTGAAACAGAAGCTAGCTGTGGTTTCTATGGTACCAACTCACCACAATCTTCAGGTTTAGCATTGGACTGAATGTTGAGTCTTTGATCGTCGTTTAATATGAGTAACCTCCAGTTCATACTACCTACGTAACACAGATTACTGTTGCCCGCTATCAGGATGCCACCTTGACGTATCTCCTTCAACTTCACCAATTCCAACGATTCCAAATGTGTCATCATAATATTAAGAGCTAGGGCACTGTTTGAAAAAAAGAAATGAAATGGGGTTTAATGTTCTGCTCCAACTCGGCTAATGAAGACAGGCGTGCACTATGCAGTGTGTGCTTTGAGGGAAATCTTGCTCGGACAACGGCGCTACAACCTACTCTTATTTCGAAATCTGTCAAGGGTTCTTTACATGCATGCCAACGTATACAACCTTTTATTATTTCTGTCAATTATATGAAATGGGATCAGTTAACCCCTTGTATGAAATGGGATCAGTTAACCTCAATGAATCCACATTATTATATGAAAATATATTCAATACTTTACTCACCCATTCGGTTCCCGACCAGAAATATATTTCAGACTCTTAAAATATGAGAGATTCCGGAATTCTGTGTGATTTGATTGGATAATTAAGTTGCCCGATATCTCCTCCACATCTTCAAACACGGAAAGATTGGATGGGTGAATGGGAGGTATCTTCAAATGAGGGTCTCTGAAATTAAAACACCAAAACATATTTATTAAAAATAGATTATTTAAGAGGTAAATCTGTCTATTACAGGTTTTTATTTTAGCTTCAAATGTTATATAAATTATTATTCATACATTTATTCACACGACAAGCCTATAATCAACTTGGATGGCTGAGATTTAAAAATTATTCATTATTCATCATTCTAATTTAAATAAAATTAGATTTTTCTGTCCCCCCACACCCCCAATCCCTGTATTGCAGTTTCTAAGAAATTTGCTATTTATTGCGCCCTTCTTGTGGAACTCAACATCAGCTCCCATACTATGGTGGTATCACAGACATGTTATGTTTCCTGGGAAACATCCACTTCCATACTACGGTGGTATCATAGACATATTATGTTTCCTGGGATAAATCCGCTTCCATACTGTGGTGGTATCATAGACAGGTTATGTTTTCTGGGAAACATCCGCTTCCATACTACGGTGGCATCATACTGGGAAACATCCGCTTCCATACTACAGTGGTATCATAGACATCTTATGTTTCCTGGGGGAATTGCCTGTTTTCTGTTTTGAAGGGTGGGGGTCTTTCAATTTGTATTTTTTGTTTATGATTGGGTTTTATTTTTATATATAAAGATGTTGTGAGTGAACAGACTAATTAATTGGTGGTTAGAATTAGTAAACATGATCTGTCATATTATTTAACTGATATCTTATTTTATTATTCAAATATTGTCACATGACAATAAAGTATACAATCACGTATATAGATTACATACGATGTAAGTCAACAAACCCAATACATGGTGATAAGCAAACAATCAATTGATATATGATCTAATCACATGAACCTTGGAAATTATAACATACAGTTGACACACCTACCAGAATATATGTATATCATATTTTAACTGGATCTTTGGTTAATCAACGGATGTTTTCTACAATTGATTTATTATAATGGTAAATATTTATTATACTGATTTCCTGGGATTTTAAGATGGCGTCTAAGTATACCTGTTCTATTTGTTTAAATAACTTTACCAAACCCAAGCTACTGCCATGTTGTCACCACACTTTCTGTGAACATTGTATAGGTGACTACATCAAGGCTCATGCTCATTTGAACAAGTTTAACTGTCCTATTTGTAGACAAGAAACAGTAGTACCATCAGGTGGTGCCAGTCAGTTTGTCAACAACTTTTATCTAGAAGACGATGATGATGATAAACAGTATTGTACAAAACACACGAAGAAAGAAATAGAAGTTTATTGTCGAGATTGTCACAAACCATGTTGTTCTGTTTGTGTTATGGTGGATCATACAGGCCACACATTGGCGGATTTAGATGACGCAGACCAGGAGATGAGAGAAATTGTCATGAAACTGAAAACAGAATCAGAAAAGAAGATAAAACAGTTACAAGAACATTCTGACTTTCTGAAGACCAAAATATCTGACATGAACAAATCATGTAAGACAGCTTGTGATAAAGTTGATAAACAAATAGACAATATTTGTGAAAAAGCCAGGAAGATGGGAGGAACAATTAAAGATGACATCAATAAAATTGGTGAAGATGAAAACCGTAAATTCACCAAACTAGTAGAAGATGATGACAAGATGACATCTAAAATGAAAGAATGGTGTGAATATGCTGATCGTATATTACAACATAGATCTATAATTACGTCCGTAGATAAACATGGATTAACAGATGTTCAAACCAAAACTGATTACATATCAACAAATTTACATAAACCTGTAGTCAGACATCCATATTATTCTATGGTGAAGGTTGATGTAGACTGTTTAAAACGACTACTGGGTGAAGTACAAACACCAACAACATTTACCAGTAGTTTTAGTTTGAATCAGGTGAAGCCAAATGGGGAATACTATAGTGATGTTGTAATAATACAAGGATTACCATGGTGTGTACGTGTTAAATGTGGTAGATCAATATTATTTATTGACCCGGTATTGAAGAAAGTAGAAGATAAAACTATTAAAACTGTTACAGTTAGTTATACAGTAAAACTGTTAAATATCAATGATGAGAGTAAATCACTAGTTAAACAAGATACACGTACATGTAAACCTGGTGATTGTACATATACTGGTATATGTATAGACTGGGATGAACTACAAGATATAAACAATGGTTTTATTGATGACAACAAGATATTTACTGTACAAACTACTGTTAATATATAACTGATGTAGAACGATAGTGAAGACATATAATAAACAATAACAGTTATAGTTATATAATAAACATTAGCCTACATTCATAAACAATAATAGGATAAACCACAGAATGTCAACAAACATAATTTTTGTAAGGTATATATTATCGAAATGTTCCCTCTAAATTTTAGTAATTAGTGAGCGCACACATCATGTGGTGTGCAAATTTCATTTTGTGGCAACAATACGTGGACAATACATGTACAAACATGCGGAACTCTTTTGTTTTTGTTGTGATTCGCGATATCTAAACAGATTTTGTTACAGTACATGTTATTGTAAATATAACTGACAACTGATCCATTCACTTGATTTGATATATACATGTACGTGTGTTGTTTGAGGTGTCTGTATATATGTCTTGTGTAAATGTTTGTTTGGTGTGGTCCTCCTGCTCTTACTTGTTATTGATGATAACAAGACATTTACTGTAGAGGTTACTGTTAATATAACTGATATAGAACGATAGTGAAGACCAAATCATATAATAAACAATACTACGTCATAAACAATAATAGGATAAACTACAGAATGTCAACAAACATAATTTGTTATTGTACATGTTATTGTAAACTGATCCATTCACTTGATCTGATAGATCCATTTGTTGATGGTGGTGTCTGTATATATTGGGTCGTGTCTTGTGTGTGGTGTGGTCCCCCTTCACTTATTAATAAAATTAATGCCTCCTCTAAAATGTTAGTAATTAGTGTGTGTACAAATCATGTGGTGTGAGAATTTCATGTAGGTAAGATATTTACAGCTATATTGTGATGTAGTGATATCTGGCCAGGAGGGAACAATGTACATAACTATAGGTGTCGTGTAAATTTATTAGCATGACAAGACTAGGAGACAATATTTCTACTCTTTTGGGTGCACATATTTATAGAATTACAGTGAGTCAGTCCAAACAGCAGCAATATTAGTCTTTATGACGTTATTTCCATAGGAGAAAAATATGTTCTGCAGACCTTTTGGGCCCCCACCCCTCCCATTCTGGACACATGCCTGGTTTGCAAATTGTGTAATACTATAGGAATTATATACTGTAGACGTTATACAAGTTCTCTTAAAAGATCCTCTGGTTAATGTATTGAAGCCTCCTAGGCTAAGAAACACTGCCGCAAAACACAAGCTGGGGATAGAGAAGTTATATTTAGCTTATATATAATATCATAGCTGTGTGTGTAGTTTCCTGTATATAACCGTTTGTATTTTGGATCCAGAATTAATTAATCATATACACAACATGAAGTCCTAGTTCCTAATTTACTGTATTGTCACTGTCTTCTCTTTTTGGAGTCCGTGACGAGGATAGTCACAAATGCAAATTATTTAAAGCTGTAACTGAAATAAGAGAAATTCAGATACCAGCCACAATCATTTGATCACCAGAAGCGTTAACTGGTTTCCTGTCCCACTGAGAGTCAACAAGCCAGGAGGATTCAACTATAATACGTACATTGAGAGCCATTGACTTTTAAAAGTTATGCCCCTTTTTTATCAGAAACCTGTCCATACTGCCTGTAACACTTGTCTTTGTAATAAAAGCTACAGTTTTTATCAGATATTTTAGGAAGCTGTTATTATGATGAGATGAAGATCCTTATTTCATTTCATCAAAATAGGATTAATAGAGTTATGCCCCTTGTTTGCTGAAACGTATCCACACTGCTTGTAATCCTTGTCAGTACGATATAGACCAGAGTTTTCATCAGATTTTTCTCAAACTTTACGGAAGCTTGTTTATGATCAAATTAGGACTCCTAGTTATTGTCGTCAATGTCGGATCAATAATTTTTAGAGTTCTGCCCCCTTTTTTGCTGAAGCCTTGTTAGCATGATAGAGCTAGGCCACATTTTTACAGATTCTTTTCAAATCTAGTGGAAAGCATTGGGGAGATGTCTACATTTTGTTTGTGGACACCTCCTCCCCCTGCCCCCACACATTTATGGCTTGATGACAGAGGCTGGCAAGGGAAAACAAATAGGTAGTCATTCATACTAAAAACAGAAGTCCAGTGAACACATTGGCGTTGACCACCAGTCTTCGTTACTTACCCTTGAAAACTAGCAGTAAAAATTCTGAGTGTTCCCTGTATCTTGGTACAAGCTGCAAAGTCGTGAATATTCTCGGCTGTTAACCAGGTGTTATCAGGTGTTCCCAGACATACTGTAAATACACAAATTTATTTGTTAATGGCACACAAGTTTCACATCTCGTTTAAGGTCCATTTTCAATATACACGTTTGCACATTTAACTTACATGGAAACAGACCCATTACATTTGTTCCACTAAGCTAACAAGAGACATAAGGCTTAACCCTGACTTGGGTCTATCTTCATGCATTGTGCTTTAAGCCTGTCTTCCACGTACGCATTTCCACTCGTTTTCCGCCAGTTATTTGGAAACAGTCCCATTACATTTGGATTTCACCGGCGAAAAAACATGTAGAAATGCTGCAAAAATGTGCACATGGAAACGGGAGCTAAGACTTTAGTGAATTGAGAGGTGGGGAAAGGGAGCAGGAACTAACATTTCCTTAAATGAGTAGCAGCAGTCGGATAGCCGGAACACTCCCTTAAAACGGAGCTAAGACTTTAGTGAATTGAGAGGTGGGGAAAGGGAGCAGGAACTAACACTTCCTTAAATGAGCAGCAGCAGTCGGACAGCCGGAACACTCCCTTAAAAGAGTAGCAGCAGTCGGATAGCCGGAACACTCCCATAAACGAGTAGCAGCAGTCAGATAGCCCTTTAGTCAATTGAGAGGTGGGGAAAGTCAGCAGGAGTCGGATAGCCCCATGGATCTGTGTAGACTGTGCAGTAGTTGAATCATACTAAACTTACACTGTCTGTCTACAAGTAACACCGCTTGAAAACAAACACTAAGATAGTTCACCGACATTTTAAGTCCTTAATAGTCAATTATAGTTGAAAACTCTAAGTTTTATTAGATAATTTTGAGAAATACTTATTCTGCTTCAATTTAATATCACTGAAAAGGTTTATTTTTTGGATATGGCTGCCATTTAGGGCAGTCACCTATTCTCAAAGAAGACAGTTGTCCATTGAACATTTACAGATAATCTTCCACTTTGGATTCAAGCAGATCAAATATCGACATACCTCTCGGACAAGTTCCTGAGCACCGGACACAGTTTCCATTTTTATCGTCTGTCTTCCCATTCCGACATTCAACAACACAAGCCCCATCTTCTTTTAACATACCTGAAAAAAAAATAACATAACCTTTACAGTCACATGAAGGTATAACATGTCTGACAAAGGAGAAACCACAAAATGTTTTCAGGATTATGATATAAAGTCAATCAGGGCAGGTTAAGTAGGTAGGTGTGTAACACCATAAAAGGGTGCGATGACTAGATTACTTAATCAATCCAGCCTATTATTAACGACAATCGCAATTGGTAATAGTTATTACCCACAGTAAAGTAAATATATTTTGGCATTTTGAATATGAGAGAGAGAGAGAAATGGGGTTTAACGTCCACTCGACACAAACTAGGTCATTTCGGGACTAACACATGGTTTAGTTTTATTTCAATAATTCGCTTGCGCGTAGGGGTCTTTAGCAGTGGGAGGAAACCGGAGGAAACCGGAGGACCCGGAGAAAACCCACGAGGTTCGACAGGCGACCCTACTCCTTGCCACGTACAACCGGGGATTCGAAACCACGCCAGTTGACTCAATGACAGACTTTATGATACAGCGCGCACATGCTAACCATTCAGCCACCCAACCCCCCATTTTGAATATGAGACTGGACATGAGATCTTATGATCTAATGCGCAAACATAAAACCATTCGGCCACCCACCCACCATTCATGGATAAAAATCATTTTAAAAATCATGTTGCTGTTCTAACTCACAAACAAAATATAAATGGTCCGCAAAAACTGATGATATTTTGGAGATGACATTTTAACCATGTACATCATCTGATTTCATAAAATTTAAAACAACATGGCCATGATTCAAGATAGGAGAGATTTGTTCAAACAGCTGATTTTCTGTCTATTCGTCAAGGAATGTGTATGTTCACAACAATTGTGTTATTGACACGGCCGTCCCATTCAACACCACAGTCTAAGGGAAACCACTCTAGAAAATCTAGAAACTCTGATTAAAACAGTACAACTACATGATGCCTAAGCTGTTGTTTTACTCAAGACAAATGAAATAAAATGGGGTTTAATGTCCTACTGTTCTGCTCCGACTGGGCTAATGAAGACTGGTATATGCCATACAGTATGCTATGAGGGAAATTTTGCCTGGACAGCAGCGCTAGTGCCTACTCTTATATAAATTCCAACTGCCAAGGGATCTTTTACGTGCACATCGATGTGTACACAGGACCTTGCTTTTATGTCTTTTCCGAATGACTAGACAGCTGTCCTTGTCAGGCCCTCCGTCCTGCACCACTGACAAGGGGAAAAAACACTGGAAAATCCCGATGAACTTTCTTAGTCAACACCGGGAGCAAACCTGTAACCTCCAGGCTATACTCACTTAGCCACCGTGACTCCGTTACTCAAGACAGCCTTGGATAAACTCTGTAACATAAACACTTTCTTACCTTGTGGACATTCCTTGACACACAAAGATCCATACGTAAACTTGGCATCTGGGTTTGGTACTTTCTTGTATAAATTAACATCGTAGATTTCTATTGGTGGACAGTATGCTACACATGCTCCGTTATCATTGAAATTACGACAACCCTGTTAATAAACAAACCAATCAAACACTTTAAACAAACTAGGTCATTTCGGGCCTAACATATGGTTTGTTTTTTATTTCAATAATTTACTTACTATATGGATCTTTAGCAGTGGGAGGAAACCAGACGATCCAGAGAAAATCTGTAAGGTCGGACAGGCGACCCTACTCCTTGTCACATGCAAGCGGAGAATAGAAACCACGCCAGTTGACTCAATGACAGACCTTATGATGCAGTGCACACATGCTAACCATTCGGCCAACCAACCTTACTTAATGACATACCTTATCACCTACCATATACACCTCAAGCCATTCGCTCCCCCCGCCCAATACACTTTATACGTTTTACGTCCTACTTTTCTGGCCTGAAATGAACATAAAGAGCAGCACAATGGCCTACTCTTATCTCAAATTACAACTGCCAAGGGTTATTTTATACATGGTATGCACACCATCATGCACACCGGACCTCCAAACGACTACACAATAAATCAC